TTAAGAAGGTGCGTGCTGTGGCCGGGCGCTGTGGCTCATGCCTATAATCCCAACACTTTGGGAGGCCAAGGCAGGCGGATCACCTGAGGTCAGGAGTTGGAGACCAGCCTGGCCAACATGGAGAATCCCTGTCTCTACTAAAAATACAAAAATTAGCCCGGCATGATGGCGCCTGCCTGTAATCCCAACTACTCGGGAGGCTGAGGTGAGAGAATCATTTGAACCCTGGAGGCAGAAGTTGCAGTGAGCAGAGATCGTGCCATTGTACTCAAGCCTAGTGTTAATCAAGTAGAACAATGTAAAACTGGATAATTAATATTAAAAAGAAGGCTGGACGCAGTGGTGCACACCTGTAATCCTAGCACTTTGGGAGGCTGAGATAGATGGGTCACCTGAGCTCAGGAATTTGAGAACAGCCTGGTAAATATAGAGAAAGTTTTGCAAAAGACAGAATGGTGTTCAAATGGAGATTCTCATGAAATAAAAGATGAGGCCGGGCGCGGTGGCTCACGCCTGTAATCCCAGCACTTTGGGAGGCCGAGGTGGGCGGATCACGAGGTCAAGAGATCGAGACCATCCTGGCCAACACGGTGAAACCCTGTCTCTACTAAAAAGACAACCAAATTAGCCGGGCATGGTGGCACACGCCTGTGGTCCCAGCTACTTGGGAGGCTGAGGTGGAAGAATCGCTTGAACCCAGGAGGCGGAGACTGCAGTGAGCTAGATTGCACCACTGCACTCCAGCCTAGTGACAGAGCAAGACTCCGTCTCAAAAAGAAAAAGAAAAAGAAAAAGAAATAAAAAAGGTGAAAGTATAATCTTAAATAATGTAACACAGCATTTTTCAAGAGGTTGAAGTGGCATTTTGCCTTTTGATCACCTAACTTACTATATATATATATAGAGAGAGAGAGAATGGGCTTTCAGAATAGTGGTTTTTGTTTTGTATTTTTTTTTTTTTTTTTTTTGGGACGGGGTTTCACTCATGTTGCCCAGGCTGGAGTGCAATGGCGCGATCTCGGCTCACCGAAACCTCCGCCTCCTGGGTTCAGGCAATTCTCCTGCCTCAGCCTCCTGAGTATCTGGGATTACAGGCACGCACCCTCATGCCCAGCTAATTTTTTGTATTTTTAATAGAGACGGGGTTTCACCATGTTGACCAGGATGGTCTCGATCTCTTGACCTCGTGATCCACCCGCCTCGGCCTCCCAAAGTGCTGGGCTTACAGGCTTGAGCCACCGCGCCCGGCCCTTGTATTGTTTTTTGAGACAGAGTCTCACTCTGTCACCCAGGCTGGAGTGCAGTGGCGAGATCTTGGCTGACTGCAACCTCCACCTCCTGGGTTCAAGCAATTCTCGTGTCTCAGCCTCCTGAGTAGCTGGAACTGCAGGCGCACACCCCCACGCCAGCAATTTTTTTGTATTTTTACTAAAGACAGGGTTTTACCATGTTGTCCAGGCTGGTCTCGAATTCCTGACCTCAGGTGGTCTGCCCACCTTGGCTCCCCAAAGTGTTGGGATTACAGGAGTGGGCTTTTAACATAGCTACTGGATCCTCTCAAGTATTCTCAGAGGAGCCTTGGGAGGTCTGGGCTCTCCAGCAAGGGGAAGGTACAGAGCACCAGCAGAAGGTACAGAGCGTGGGTGCGGGACAGACTGGGCCGAGGCCAAAAAGCATGTGTCCTCCTGTGAGTTAAGTCCTTTGGAGCCAGGCTTAGAAGCAGCAGGTGGAGAGTGGGATAAAAAGCCAACAGGGGTTTCCTGTTTGAGGAGCTAGGTGTAGACAATGTGAGGAATGTGTGTTGGATAGGACAAGAGGAAATGCTGCCCCGAAGAGAAGCACAGAGCAATGGAGCTGTGTGGCCCCAGGGCCAGGGCCGGCCACTTGGGATGTGACTTTGGCTTGGGAGTTGGGGTTTGTTTTTTTGTTTGAGGTAGAGTCTTGCTCTGTCACTGAGGCTGGAGAGCAGTGGCATGATCGCGGCTCACTGCAACCTCTGCCTCCCCAGTTCAAGTGATTCTCCTGCCTTAGGCACCCCAGTAGCTGGGATTACAGGTACCTGCCGCCACACCAACAAATTGTTTTTGTTGTTGTTGTTTTTTAAGACAGAGTCTCTCTCTGTTGCCTAGCCTGGAGTGCAGTGGCATGATCTTGGCTCACTGCAACCTCCGCCTCCTGGGTTCGAGCAATTTTTCTGCCTCAGCCTCCCGAGTAGCTGGGACTACAGGCACCCACCACCATGCCTGGCTAATTTTTGTATTTTTAGTAGAGGTGGGGTTTCACTATGTTGGCCAGGCTGGTCTCGAACTCCTGACCTTGTGATCCGGCCACCTTGGCCTCCCAAGATGCTGGGATTATAGATGTGAGCCACGCCCAGCTGGCATAGATATTTGAAAAGTAAGAAAGTTAGTTTCTGGGTTACAGGAAACTCGTGTTTATGTTACCTAACAAAGGCCTGAAGTGGAAATACTTCATGTTGTTGAGTAAACTGAAAAGATAGACTTTATATATCAGCCCTGAGTGGTCATTCTGCTAACACATGATGGTCGGGAAATATCCTGACTCCATTCTCATTCTGATCCACCGTACCCAGAACCTTCAGAATACTCTATCTCACACACTCTTTGAGTATAACAAAGACTGTAGAAGGAACTCTGCTGCCTATTTCAGCCTAAACTCCCAACTAGGCTCCATGCTGCCTTTCACAGCTGCTCCCTCCACCTCGTCAACTTCTTCCAATCACATTGGTTGTGTCCCCTCACTGTTGCACAGAGGACTGCAGCCTGGATCAAGTCTTTGTTCCATATGCTTTCATCTTGACTTACCAATGGGGTTGCAAGATCTTTTAGGGAAAGGATTTATGTCTTTTAAAATTTATTTCGTTTCTTCTCAGGGCCTCAGGCAAAGCATATGGTAAATAGTTAGTGGCTGCTGCTTATGTCAGTTTACCCTGACCAATACTCAGAGCAGCACCAGCCACAATTAGGAATTTAATAAGAATATTTGGGATTGAGACAAGGATCCTCTCAGAGTCAGAAATTATCTCGGAATGTCTTTTTGTTTTGTTTTGTTTTTAATTTATTGGGTCTCTGTGACTCTAGTCAGTGACTTGGTGTGACTTTTGTGATGACAACATTAATAATAAAGCCTTAAAAATGACTTGGTTAATGGTGTTCAAAAGGTCTAAGTCTGAATGCCAGCTCTGTCACTTATTAACTATGTGACCTTGGGCAGGGCACTGTGAACTACAGTTTTCTCATAAAAGAATGACGATTGCTGGGCGCAGTGGTTCATGCCTGTAATCCCAGCACTTTGGGAGGCCAAGGTGAGTGGATCACCTGAGGTTGGGAGTTTGAGACCAGCCTGACCAACATGGAGAAACCACCTCTACTAAAAATACAAAATTAGTCAGGCATGTGGCACACACCTCTAATCCCAGCTACTTGGGAGGCTGAGGCAGGAGAATCACTTGCACCTGGGAGGTGGAGGTTGCAGTAAGCTAAGATTGCGCCACTGCACTCCAGCCTGGGTGACAGAGCGAAACTATCTGGGAGGCTGAGGTGAGAGGCTCACCTGAGCTTGGGGAAGTGGAGGCTTCAGTGAGCTTGGATGTGCCACTGGACTACAGCCTGGGCAACAGTTAGACCCTGTCTCAAAAAAAAAAAAAAAGAGTGATGATCATGGGCACCTTAGAATGGTTGTGAGGATTAAGTTATATGCCAAAAATAAATTGTCTACCATAGCAAATGATGGTAATAGATGTTAAATAAATTTTTTTTTTCTTTTTTTGACACTTAGTTTTGTTCTGTCACCCAGGCTGGAGTGCAGTGGTGTGATCTTAGCTCACTGCAACCTCTGTATTCCCAGGCTCGAGTGATTCTCCTGCCTCAGCCTCTGGAGCACCTGGGACTACAGGCACAAGCCACCACACTTGGCTAATTTTGTCTTTTTATTAGACACGGGGTTTCACCATGTAGCCATGCTATCTTAGTTTACCATGGGGGAGGTGTTTGCCAGATTTTTTGGTCTTGAACTCCTGACCACAGGTCATCTACCCGTCTCACCCTCCTGAAGTGTTGGGATTTTTATTACAGAAAATTTAAAATCTGTCACTTTTTATTTTATTGATTTTCTATTTTCTTCTTTACCTGGATCACAAAGATAATTTCAAATTTTCTTTTCTTTTTTTTTTTTTTTTTTTTTTGAAACGGAGTCTCGCTCTGTTGGCCAGGCTGGAGTACAGTGGACAATCTCAGTTCACTGCAACTTCCGCCTTCCGTGTTCAAGTGATTCTTCAGCCTCAGCCTTCCGAGTAGCTGGGACATGTGCTATGACGCCTGGCCAATTTTTTGTATTTTTAGTAGAGATGAGGTTTCACTGTTTTAGCCAGGATGTTCTCCATCTCCTGATCTCGTGATCTGCCCACGTTGGCCTCCCAAAGTGCTGGGATTACAGGCAAGAGCCACCATACCTGGCAATTTCAATTTTTTTTAAAACTTTTTTGGAGGTTAGGTATTTTGTGATAATGAGAAGTTGGTAGACATCATATTAACAGAGATGATTTAAAAAAACATTTTTGGTAATTATCTGGACCATAAGAAAATACTAAACAAGCCAAATTACTGTTAGCTAAAGGCTTGGGAATCAGGAGAAGAGGGAGGAAGAGAAGGTGGAGAGAGTCCTTAGATTATTGGTTGAAGCATGACCTACTGACTTAATTTAGCACCCATAGTGGTAAGGAAGTCCCTCCTAAGGCTTCCTGCCTTGGTTAGAGAGTGTTCCAGTGTTGTGTTATAAGCCTCCACGGCAGAGCCACAGCACTGAGTCTGACCAGCTAGAATTTGATGCAGGATGGGTATGGCCGAAAGGAGACCACTGTGAATTAACCAGGAGTAAGAACGTCAAAACTGATCTTTATTTCACCCAAAGGCAGAATGATAAAATGGCATTCTTCTCTATTTAAATTCTATCCCATCTTTCTTCTTGTCCTTCCTCTCAAGGTTGCTGGCAGAGGTGGTTGGGGCTATGTGCCTGAAGTGAAGATTCTGCCCACTGGTCAAGACACCTCCCTCTCAGATGCTGGCTCTGCCCCTGCTTTTGGGGGTCGACCCCTGTACTCGCAGGACCTTAGGTGACTCTGTAAGTATAGTAAAACTCAGTTAATCTGATGTTATCATTCAATGTTTTTTAAAAAGTGGAGCATCCAGTTGACAAGGTAAGACTTTTTCCTGACGCCTTTGGTTGTTTATTTAAAAGTACAGGCAATATATAAGATGAAAGACAAACTCAGAGGTTCAAATACATCCAATAAATTGAAACAGCAGTGACATACGCATCCAAAGATGACTGTAGCTATTTAAAGCCATGTCTTGTTTCTCTAGGCAAAAGTACAACATTGGTTATAAAACATAAACCTTCTTTGCACGATAAGGCAATGAAAGACAATCCTACTATCTCTTTTGCTAAACTCAGTGGTCTTCAATGTCATAGCAAAAAGATGATATGATTATAAAGTGAGACTAGAGAAGAATTTCCTCATAAAATTTCTGAACCAACTGCATCACATTCTATAATATTCCCTTGTCCATTATTTAAAAAGCTTCCTTAGCAAGCCTGGTTCTATATTGCTTTCTCTGCTTTTCAGCATTATCATTAAGCTCAGAGCTTCTGTAAACTAAGAATCACTCAATTTAGCCTCAGCAAAAAATAAACAGAATACTCCTATATGAAAGCCTATTGTAAAGAGTAGTTAATGAGTAAATAGAAATTATTGACTTATAAGAAACACTCTCATCCAGAAAGGGAATTATCAGAATAGCTTTGTCAAGTGGGAGTACTTATTTGATATAACTAGCCCGTTTTGGGAACAGAAAGTCAATTAATTTATGTCCCCCTTTTCCTCCCTTTGGCCAACCTGTCTTTCTTTCTTGTTACTTCTCTTTGACATCTGGAAGTTTTTTTTTTTTTTTTTTTTTAATTTCTACTCCATTAATAAGTTCAGCATTTAATCTCTTGACTTCCCTTATTTTCACACACATTCAAAGAGCAGGTGCCACAGTTCGTTCAGAATGTCAAGAATCTTTGTGTGAAAATTTATGACATACTTTGTAAGGTACACATTTGTTATCACAGAAGCCAACTGCAGCAGGCCATAAGGCACATTAGTTTGTCCATTTTCTGTGCTAATTTAGAAAACTTGTGAAGAAGATTCTGAAAAGATTTAGAATTGTGGCACACAATTTTATGCAGTCCGTGGAGATTGATGGTGTCTCCACTGGGAATCTACCACTTCTCTTTAGGCTGTTCTGAAGCTGCACAGTTTTTGGTGCGTTATATCAGTATATTTGCATTTGGACAATGGAGAGAGGGATATTGATACCTTAATAAAAGTATTAAAGAAATACCCATGGCTGCATAAATTAATAAAGAGCATCAGAGAGATCAAAAGCATATGATTCTTTCATTTTTGTGGTTGGATTAATTTCACTAACTGACTTCCAGGGGCGTCCAGGACATTTGGGGGAGGTTGTATCTGGAAAATCTGATATCTGGTTAAATGAAAGGCCCTTTGGTTGTATCTGGATATCAGGGATCCAATCATCATCGCTCTCTGTGGGAGCTGGTGGTATTTTAGGCATCATAGTTGCAATGAGATCAGAGTCCTGAAAGTCCTGAAAGTCAGGTATAACTGCTACACCTGGCTGGGTTAGGGAAGGGATGCCTGTTGGCCCTTCTGTCTTCTCTTGGGTGTGTGCAGAAGATGTAGTACTATCTTCAGAAGAGCTTGCCAAATGCTCTGTTTTCCAACCATTGTGCTTTCCATTCTTTTTGCCTTTATTTTTATGTTTTCCGTGGCCATGACCATGCTTATACTTATGTCCATGGTCAAGGCCATGGCCCCGTTGGTGTTCAAGATCATCAAGTTTGAACTTATGTTCAAGACCAAGACCATGTTGTTGTTGGTGCCCCCAGCCAAGGCCATGTCCCCTTTGGTGCCCATGCCCATGGTCACGTTCATGTTTATGGCCATGGCCAAGACCATGTTTTCTTTGCTTTTCATGACCCCAGTCATGTCTACGAGTATGCCCTTGTTCTTTTCCTGAATCCCACTCTTCGTCTTGTACAGGTGCCATGGAACTGTGGGGTGGACTTACAGTTGTTTCTTCTCTTATTTCCCCTGCTTGTGATGTACGGAAAGGTGAAAAACCTGGAGGCCTTTTCATCAGTGAGGTCTAAACAGAAAATATAAAATGAATGTATTGTGCTATCAATGAAGGAAACAAACACAGATATCTGACAATGCTATCTTAGTTTACCATGGGGGAGGTGTTTGCCAGATTTTAAATACTACATTAATATACCAGAAAGGATGAATATTACTTTTTTCTCTTTTGATTGATCTTAAAATTTGTGGACATTGATTTTTGTCCTTAATGATACTGTAAAATGGCTGGGCATGGTGGCTAACGCCTATAATGCCAGCACTTTGGGAAGCCAAGGAGGGCAGATCACTTGAGGTCAGGAGTTCGAGACCAGCCTGGCCAACATGGTGAAACCCCATCTCTACTAAAAATACAAAAATTAGTTGGGCATGATGGCACATGCCTGTAACCCCAGCTACTCAGGAGGCTGAGGCAGGAGAATTGCTTGAATCCAAGAGGTGGAGGTTGCAGTGAGCCGAGATGGTGCCACTGCACACCAGCCTGGGTGACAGTGAGTTTCTGTCTCAAAAACAAACAAACAAACAGTAAAATAAGCTAGAGAGCTTTTTCTTCATCTGGAAAAATTGGGTGGTTGAAGTAGCTAATCTCTAGGGTATCTTCTAAGCCTATGATTATGCAAGCACAGCATTTAATTATTGATACTATTGTTATTATCATCATCACTGCTTTCATCCTAAAAGGCCCCAAGTGGCTTTATGAACTGAATATATAGGGAGCATGTATCCATGATCACTTTGTTGTGCTGAAGTACATTAGGACATATTCACAAGCTTGAAATGCAGCCTTTGTACAATGTTTGTGTTAGTCCATCTACATACCTATACACAACAAAAGACTAAATCAAAAAAGAGGGAGAAGAGGCAACTTGCGTCGAAGATGTTGATTTGTGGATTAATTCTACCTACACTTACTACCCGTGAGAAGGTGTTAATCGGAGGCAGTGATTAACATCATCTTTGGTGATGCAAAGAACATGGTCATTGGAGTCAAGCCAGACCCTACTGGTCATCAGCATCATCATGAAAAGGGTAGACTCTGAATTGACCAATATTTGAATCCAGGTGTCACTAGCTTCACTTTTCCCCTCTGTAACACAGAAATAATAACAGCACCTGCCTCATAGAGTTATAAGGAAAACTAATAGAAAATATGTGAAGCCTTCAGTATAGTGCCTGGGACAGAGGAAGCATTTGATAGTGTCATCATTCACTCAGGACCTCAAAGTCTTTCTAGTTTTTAGTGCCTCATCCTTGACAATAGGGAAAGGGTTACTACTTCCCAGGGTTCTTTTAAGATTTAAAAAAGAAAGATGACATCAACAAATGCTTCTCAAACTCGATTCCCCAGGCATCTTGTTAAAATTTGGTAGCTGTGAAGTGGGGTTTGCAAGTCTTTATTTTTCTTTTCTTTTCTCTCTTTTTTTTTGAGATGGAGTCTTGCTCTTGTTGCCCAGGCTGGAGTGCAGTGGCGTGATCTTGGCTCACCACAACCTCTGCCCCCCGGGTTCAAGCGATTTTCCTGTCCCAGCCTTCCGAGTAGCTGGGACTATAGGTGCCTGCCACCACGCCCTGCTAATTTTTTTGTATTTTTAGTAGAGATGGGGTTTTCTCCATGTTGGTCAGGCTGGTCTTGAAATCCCGACCTCAGATGATCTACTGCCTGGGCCTCCCAACATGCTGGGATTACAGGCCAGCGAGTCTGCATTTTTCTCTTTCTTTTCTTTCTTTTCCCTTTCCTCCCCTCCAGTCCCCACCTCACTCCTCCCCTCCCCTTCTTCCTTTTATGGAGCTTTGCTCTTTGTTGCCTAGGCTGGAGTGCAGTGGCGAGATCTTGGCTCATACCAACATCTGCCTCCTGGGTTCAAGTGATTCTCCTGTCTCAGCCTCCCTAGTAGCTGGGATTACAGATACACGCCATCACACCTGGCTAATTTTTGTATTTTCAGTAGAGAAGGAGTTTCACCATGTTGGCTAAGCTGGCCTCGAACTCCTGGCCTCAGGTGATCTGCCCGCCTCGGCCTCCCAAAATGCTGGGATTATAGGCGTGAGCCACTATGCCCAGCTGTGCATTTTTCACATGGTCCTTGCATGTCAGCAGAATGCAGTGGAGTGCTGTATCTGGCCTCAGGTGCAGCTGGCATAGCCGATGTTGCTACTCCACAGCAGGACTGCAGTGCACTAGGAGAGGGTCTATAGCAGCTTCACTGAGACACTGACAATGTGTGAGAAATGGTCAGGAGGACTATTACTCTCCTTTCTGGTCATTAAACACATCAGCACAGAAGTGTGAGAGTTACTCCCCATTTTAAGAAGATAGCTCCCCAATTCATTTCAGTAACGGTTCATTTTCAACCCCTCGATATGAATTTTCAGAATGAGCAGAACTGACCCCATACCGACTGTAATTAGAATCATACCATTCCCAGTGGTTCACACTTGACAGTAGGGTAAATTTTTTTCTCCCAAGGTACCACATAAACTTCAGCGGTGCAATCTAGGCTTTGCTATCCATGAAAACAGAAGTCAAAAGAGAGACAGCGTTATTCATGAAATATTTAAACAAATGATTTTTAAAACACCAAATAAGCTTCCAGTGAAAAAGTAGACAGGTGCATGACTACTCACGCCAAGTTTTTTGGTCTCACAGCTTTTGGTCAACTCTTCATTACTTTCCTTGGAACATGTGGTTTCCCTGGCCACGAAGTCAATAAAGTATTTCTTGCCAGCCACCACCTGAAAAATTAATTAGCACAAAATGAATGCTTAAGAAATATTTGCATAATAAGTCATTTATCTTTAAGAAATTTTAAGGGAGAATCTTGAAATTTTAATTGATCAACTTAGAGAGTTACACACAAAAAGTACAAATGTTTGGCATTAAATCTTACCGGCATATTTAAAATATTTGGCAATTGGTTGGTCCCATTTCCTTTTCTAAATGAAGGAAGAAAAAAAGCAAGCTACAATTTTTATTATGTATGTATTTATTTGAGCTTTATTGACCAACAGCTGTCAAATTCACTAGTAATTCAAGAGTTCAAGTTGTAATATCTAAGAATCTAAAAGGAATAGGAAGAAAAACTTAAAATGTTTTTAAACATGTCTTGTTTCTGCCAACTCTTGAATTGGTGAAGTACTAATATAGTAGTACTATAGAAATTATGTGGATTATGTAATTAGAAAAATTGTTTTTTTATTGCTTCTCATACTATTTTTAATATTAAGAAATTATTTTAGGCTGGGCACGGTGGCTCATACCTGGAATCCCAGCACTTTGGGAGGCAGAGGCAGGTGGATCACTTAAGGCCAGGTGTTCAAGACCAGCCTGACCAACATGGTCAAACCCTATCTCTACTAAAAATACAAATATTTGATGGGCATCATGGTGCCTGCCTGTAATTCCAGCTGTTTGGCAGAGTGAGGCAGAAGAGTCACTTGAACCCAGGAGGGGGAGGTTTCAGTGAGCCAACATTACACCACTGCACTCCAGCCTGGGCAACGGAGTAAGACTCTGTCTCAAAAAATAATTATTATTATTTTAATCTCTAGCAACACTTTTAATCACTAAACAACACTATCTTTCATTAAATATTTTGTGGCCCAGTTTCTCAACCAAATTCTTTAATATTTGGTTGCTAAAAGCACAATGTGAGGTGATTGTGGGGAGGAGTCATTGGAAGAATTAAACTCCTCTTTTCTAGTGTTGTTTTGCTGGCTAAGTATGGTTACATTTTTAAATGTGTTGGCCGGTTACAGTGGCTCATGCCTGTAATTTCAGCACTTTGGGAGGCCGAGGGGGCCAGATCACCTGAGGTTTGGGGTTCGAGACCAGCCTGGCCAACATATAGTACAACCCCATCTCTACTAAAAGTACAAAAAATTAGCTGGGCATGGTGGCAGACATCTGTAATCCCAGCTACTATGGAGGCTGAGGCAGGAGAATCACTTGACCTGGGTGGTGGAGGTTGAAGTAAGCCAAGATCCCACCATTGCACTCCAGCCTGGGCAACAGGGTGAGACTCCATCTCAAAATAAATAAATAAAATAAGTGTGTGTGTGTGGGGGTGTGTTTGTAATAGTATGTAGCTATTAAAAAGAATGCATGCTACCTATATCTATTAACCTACAGGGACAGCCATTATTGAAAAAAATGGAAGTTATAGGGTGATAGTGTAATCCCATTTTTGTAAAGGCAAACTACAACAGTCTTTTCTGTTTCCTGATTTTTTTTTTTTGTTTTTTTGTTTTTTAAAGCATGATGTGTAGACCTTCAGTGTAAATGAGATAAAAGGAAAAAAAAAAGATAAAAGCATGATGTGAGATGATTGCAGGGAGGAGTCATTGGAAGAACTAAACTTTTCCTCTTTTCTGGTGTTGTTTTGCTGGCTAAGTATGGTTACATTTTTAAAATGAATTTAATGATTAACTTTGAAAAATCTAGGTATGTGGGGAAGTTGAGAAGAGGTTTCAAGAGGGATTCAGAGTCTTTCCTTTGTGCTCATGAATTATCTTGCTCATTTCAGAGTAGACCTTAATTAAAGTTGATCAATGTAATGTAGCCTAAGAAAGCTGACAATTTGTAATGCAAACCACAGCTGATGGCTCAACTCTATTCAGGGTCCAGAGGAGAGGAATTAAATAGACCTTAAATAACATCTTCCATCTGAGGGCCTAAAAATTGCATCCACATTGCCACCTTTCTCAGGGGTCATTCTTACCAGAAGTCTTCCCTGTTTTAGCTTACCTTCAAAAAAAATTAAAGAAATGAAAAGCAAAAATAGGCTGGGCACAGTGGCTCACTCCTGTCATCCCTGCAGTTTGGGAGGCCAAGGTGTGTGGATCACTTGAGGCCAGAAGTTTAAGATCAGGCTGGCCAACATGCTGAAACCCTGTCTCTACTAAAAATACAAAAAATTAGCTGGGCGTGGTGTCAGGCGCCTGTAATCCCAGCTACTGGGGAGGCTGAGGCAGGAGAATCACTTGAACCTGAGAGGCAGAGGTTGCAGTGAGCCAAGATTGCGCCACTGCACTCCAGCCTGAGCAAAAGAGTGAGACTGTCTCAGAAAAATGAGACAATCAAAATAAACAAAAAAAAGAAAGCAAATAAATAAATATTCACCAAAACTCATGATGAGAAAGGCCTTTCTTAGGTGAAAAGCAGAAGAAAGAAATCTAAAGGAAGGGGAAAATATTAAAACTTCACTAAACAAAAATGAAAACTGCTTCTGAAAAATCACAGTAAGTGTAGGAGTTCAGTCAAGATACTGGCAAAAATATTAAGGGAAAAATATTAGAGAAAGTTACAGAATATAGTCTCATATCCTTATGTAAGGCCTAAGGGTTTTTCCTACGGTTCTTGGCTGAAGGCAGCCTTGTTCTCTTAGTTAAATAAATTATAGCAGAAACAAAGGAATGCATGGAGTTTACCTAACTAACTTGTTTACTCGTGTGGTTCTAAAATTAACCTTTGATTATTCCAGATGGCTCCTCTTGTGGGGAGGTCAACAAAGGATATTACCCACTAAATGGTATTTGCTTTAGGCATCAGAATCTGTCCTTTAATCTTCAACTTCTAATGGTGTTGACTCAAAGTTTTTGTCATTTAATGTGTGCTGAATAAAGACCAGAGAGGCCAGCATGTAAGGGCTGGCAATCACAACTGTTTACAGTATTCCCAAGGGAGTCCGTATCATTGACCATGGACACCCAGCCCGTTCATTCACTGTATTCTGTGTGTGAATGTATGTTATTCATCCATCGCTGAGTCAGGGTCCGCAGGACAGACCCCTGCAGGTGGTGACCCCAACAGGTAAGTAAAGTAAAAGGGCAAACTGGAAAAACTGTGATATAAAATCAATATCTATATGCATATGAAGCCCAACACTAAAAAATGGACAAAAACCATGATATTTCAGAGAATGAATTAAAATAGTCATTAAGCTTGAAAAAAAAGTTTAACGTCATTAATAAACAAAAACATGCTCATAAAAAAAGCAATGAGACATCATTGTTAACCTTCCATGCTGGCAAAGATGAAAACAAAAGTTGATGATACCTGGTGTTGGCCAGGCATAGGAAACCTTCAGCCTCAGTCACTGCTGGTGGGAAGAGAATTCAAATTAAGATCCTCAACTGGTGTCATATACCTAGGTGATGTGAATGCAAATTGGCATCATTGCAAATAGTTTGGTGATTTTGGTAATTTACATCAAGTCTTAGATATATACATATTTTTTGACATTTCTAGGACTTTGTCAAAGGCAAAATTTCTGCATGCACACACACATTATCTTGGGAGTATATTCATCTCAGCAGAGACAGGCAGGAGCATCAACAGCTTGGGGACAGCAGCAGTGATGGCAGGGAAAAATAAAATGTATCTGAAGCTGCAATTCCTAACGTGTGAAAATGGAAGATTCAGGAAATGTTTGGCATCTGAAATATAAATCCAATGTGGAATCAACATGAGTCCAAACAGGACTAAATATGCAAACCCAAGGCAAGATTAAAACTATAAAATAAATATTTAGCAATTTGGCAAATTGGTCATTTGTAGTTCAGTCCAGGTAGATTGGAGATTAGCTTTTAGCAAATTCATCATGTTTAACTAATTTCCAATAAATTGGCTGCTTCCACCAATGCTTCCTTGGGTGACTATGTCCAAGCAGCCAAATTGCTCTCTTTAAATGCAAAAGTCAGTAAAGATTCATCTCTCTAAAATAAGTTTGAAATTCTCACAATATTCAGATTGACTTGGCAACTAACTGAAGGGTAACCTCTTAGTATTCCCCTGGCATCCTTAACATAAACACACACACACTACAATATTGATTTGTTAAACCACAGAGAAAACTGTAACTACTAAGAGTTACAGTTAAGAGGACTAGATATTTATGCTTGAGAATGAGTGGTTCTCTCTTTGATGGCAGATTTCTGACATGCAATACATGATGGATTATTCCTACAACATTGAGAATAAAGAATAAGGGACCTGGGTGCAGTGGTGTGCACCTGGAGGCTGAGATGGGCAGATTGCTTGCTCCCAGGAGTTCGAGTCCAACATGGGCATTAGAGTGGGAGCCTCATCTCTCTCTGTCTCTCTCTCTCTGTCTCTCTCTCTCTCTCTCGTTTTGTCTGCTCTGTTGCCCAAAGGGTCTTGCTCTGTCACCTAGGCTGATGTGCAGTGGCATGATCATAGCTCACTGCAGCCTTGATGTCCTGGTCTCAAGTGATCCTCCCAGTCTCAAGTGATCCTTCCACTTCAGCCTCCCAAAGTAGTTGGGTCTACAAGCACATACCACCATATCCAGCTAATTTTTAAAATTCTTTTTCTTTTTTTAATTTTTTGAGATAGAGTTTTATTCTTGTCACCCAGGCTGGAGTATAATGGCATGATCATTGCAACCTCCGCCTCCCAAGTTCAAGTAATGGCTGACCGTAACCTCCGCCTCCCAGGTTCAAGCCATTCTCCTGCCTCAGCCTCCTGAGTAGCTGGGATTACAGGCATGCACCACCACACCCAGGTAATTTTTTTTTTTTTTGTATTTTTAGTAGAGGTCGGGTTTCTCCATGTTGGTCAGGCTGGTCTCAAACCCCCGACCTCAGGTGATCTGCCCTCCCTGGTCTCCCAAAGTGCTGGGATTACAGGCATGAGCCACCGCACTTGGCCTAAATTTTTGTATTTTTAATAGAGACGGTTTTTCACTATATTGGTCAGGCTAGTCTCGAACTCCTGACTTCAAGTGGTCCATCCGCCTCAGCCTCCCAAAGTGGTGGGATTACAGGCATCAACCACCACTCCCGGCCTTTAATTCTTTTTTTGTAGAGACAGAGTCTTGTTATGTTGCTCAGGCCAGTCTTGCCCTGGGCTCCAGTGATCCTTCTGTCTCAGCCTCCCAGAGTACTGGGATCACAGGCATGAGCTACTGTGCCTGGCCCCCATCTCTCATGAAACAACAATAACAACAAAAGAATAAAAGAATTTCACGGGCCGAGTGTGGTGGCTCATACCTGTAATCCCAGCACTTTGGGAGGCCGAGGCAGGCAGATCATGAGGTCGGGAGATTGAGACCATCCTGGCTAACATGGTGAAACCCCGTCTCTACTAAAACACAAAACACTAACCGGGCGTGGTGGCACACACCTGTAGTCCCAGCTACTTGGGAGGCTGAGGCAGGGGAATTGCTTGAACCCAGGAGGCAGAGGTTGCAGTAAGCCAAGATTGTGCCACTGCACTCCAGCCTGGCGACAGGGTGAGACTCCATCTCAAAAAAAAAAAAAAAAAAAAAAGTGAAAAAAGTGAGACTTAAAGCTGATAAAAGCATGAGTAGCATAGATTGGCATCCCTTTCAAGTAAACCTAACGTGGTCATGTGGCAATGAAATCAGAGAGAGGGTGGTCGTGTCTGGGATAGAAATGAGTGCTCAAGTAGCAGGGAGATCAAAGTCTCAGTTTTGATTTACTTTAATCTATTTTGTTTACTATTTTCAGTTACAAAAGTAACACAGGAAATTAGAAAGATTAAAGTAGCCTGTTATGCCATCACCTGAAAATCACCACTATGATTTTGAGGCTTTGTTTTTTGTTTGTTTGTTTTGAGACAGAGTCTGACCCTGTTATCCAAGCTGGAGTGCAGTGGCGCAATCTCGGCTCACTGCAACCTCTGCCTCCTGGGTTCAAGCGATTCTCGTGCCTCAGCCTCCTGAGTAGCTGGGCTTATAGGTGTGAACCACCACGCCTGGCTAATTTTGGCATTTTTATTAGGTTAGTGCAACAGTAATTGTGGTTTTGCCATTAGTTTGGCAAAAACCGCAACTACTTTTGCACCAACCTAATAGTATAGACGGGGTTTCACCATGTTGCCCAGGCTGGTCTCAAACTCCTGACCTTAAGCAATCTACACACTTCAGCCTCCCAAAGTGCTGGGATTATAAGTGTGAGCCACTGCACCCACCCCCATTTTTTTCCATATGGTTTTCTGTGCTTTTAAATAACGCAACTGATAACATCATGGATATTCAATTTTATGCCTACTTTTTTTCATTGAATATTACAACACAAGACATTCCCCACATCAAGAGTGCCTTACAAAGATTCTTTTAGATTGCTGCTTAACACTCTATTCTAAGGATATGCCAGGCATGATCTAATCATTCTCTTATTAATCATTTTGACAGTTGACTATTTTTGCTGTTATAATTACAACTTCAGTGAATATCATTGTATAGAAAGACTCCTATTTTAGATTCCTAGAAATTCAATTTCCGAGCCAAATGTATAAACTTTTTAGTGAGAATTTTTTCACCAGATTATGAAGATTATGTTGGCTTGCTGTAATAGTTTGGCTCTATTTTGATTATTTTTCTTTAACTTGTATTTAGGAAAGCCAGTTTTGAGTCCCTAAAATAGGAATCTGTTCATAAAAAACATCGGTCAGAGACTATTGGAGTTGCTAGAAATGTAGGCTCCTCTTCTTTTTTTTTTTTTTTTTTGAGACAGAGTCTTGCTCTGTTGCCCAGGCTGGAGTGCACTGGCGTGATCTCGGCTCACTGCAACCTTCGCCTCTGGGGTTCAAGCGATCTCCTGCCTCAGCCTCCTGAGTAGCTGGGATTACAGGCGCCCACCACCACTCCTGGCTAATTTGTATTCTTAGTAGACATGAGATTTCTCCATGTTGGTCAGGCTGGTCTTGAACTCCTGACCTCAGGTGATCCACCCGCCTCGACCTCCCAAACTACTGGGATTACAAGCATGAGCCACTGCACGTAGCCTAGGTAGGCTCTTCTAATACAGTCACTCGTTTTACAGATGGGGCTGCAAAAGTTTAGAACATTCGAATGACCACCCAGAGTGATCTGGGATTTGAGCGGCAGATGCTATCGTGAAACTGAGTCTCCTTACTCCCAGAAGACACTCCTGTCAATCTTCTGTTGACAGGGTATGAAAGGGGAGATGAATCCCCAGAGTGTACATTTCCAAGAGGGCCATCCCAGGCAGAGAGAACAGTAGGTGAAAGACATGGAAGCAAGAGAGTGTGGAACCTGGGCAATGATGGATAGACTGATGTGGCCCAGCCCAAGGCATTATGTGATATTATAATGAGAGATGAGTCAAAAAAGACATAGAGTAAGTCTTGCTGGCCCTAGCCCTGAATTTTATTAATTATGTCATGGTTGCTATTGCATTCATATAGCATTTTAGAGTTTGAAAAAGTGATCTGACGTATATGAATTTATTTGATCCGCACTTCAGTCTTTTACAGATATAAAACAGAGAGAATGTTGTAAAAGACTTGTCCAAGATCAAGCATGCAGGGAGATTGGCACTGAATCTACCAAATCTAATCTACCAAAGCACATTATCAAATGATAGTTTCCCAATTCAGAGCCAAGATCAGTGGCAAAATTAGTAAGCAACTTGCACATAGACTATAGTGTTACTGCTTTTATAGCATAATTTACACACCTGTACTCTTGCTCTTTTCACATTGTCAATCTTGAAATAGAAAGTTTCATTGTTCTCTGCATTAAGCTTTGTGATGGTGTGAGTCAGTGTCTCCTCCAGCTCTGGGCTGTTGGTGGGTATATCTCTGGGGCAGCCAAGACAAATCTTGGTAGGTGGTTGTACAAAATCCTCCCCTGGAAGGATCAGATATTAAGTCAGCATGTACACTGAAGTAGCAGCCCGGCCTAGCATCCCTCCTGCATAAGAACTAGCACCCACATTTATAAAGGGTCACATGGTAGCCCAGACTAAGAAGTGAGTGGGTGAAGGTTGTCTGTCTGATTTTCACTTCCTGCCCCTATTCTTTTCTCCTCCTCAGAGCCCATTGTATTTAGGGAAACATATTCAATTGGAAGGTGTGAGTGACTCAATCAAAATGCTACACTTTTCTTGAATGTTTGCAGTTTTGATGGAAACTGTAAAAAGCAATGCTTAATTTAAAGGAGTGACTCTCATAAGAAAAATTTAAGTGCTGTGGCTCTGGTGAGCAGGTAGCTTCAGATTACTCATTGTGGAACGCATACAAGCGTTTTCCAAGTATGAGAAAAGCCAACTCTTGTTATAAGAAATACTGACCTGACCACAAACTCATACTATCTCCATTTCTTCCTGTTATAACATGCAGGAAAAAAACCACCTTAATTGAAAGGGTTTTATTCTGAATGGTTAGAAATAAAATACGGGTCTCTCCAAATTACAGCACCTGACTTGAGGACAACTTGTAGGGAAGAGAGACCAGTCGGCATTGTACCCAAAGGCCAACTTTGCCCAGGGGTCACGTATTTCTCTTCCATCTTTGTAACCCATTCTGGCCACTTACAGAACAGCCTGAGCTGCAGTACAACTGGGCAGGGAAGAGGTACTGTGTTCTCATCAAGGGGGGCATCTATGTCTGCAGGTTACACAGACTTTGGAGTATATCATGGGAACCAAAACACAACTTATAGGAAAAGACCCAGCCAGTTGTCTGGGACCACTGTTCCTCTATGGGTGTGTCAACATGTGTTATTCCTTACCTGGATAAATGTCACATTTCTGTGAGAAGGAAGTAACTCGTAGCTGAGTATCCATGTATGCGTCATCTGTACATTCACCGGTATCCTGGTTTTTAAAAAGCATATACATGCTAAGTTAAAAACATTTTTTAGAGTCTTTAAAGTAAACAACTAGCAAAATTGAAAAACAGGATGGATACTTTCCAAATCATTGCATAGAAAAAAAGAGGAAGAAGCTAGGCGTGGTGGCTCATGCCTGTAATCCCGAGATCAGGAGTTTGCGACCAGCCTGGAAACATGGTGAAACCCTGTCTTTATGAAAAATACAAAATTAGCTGGATGTGGTAGCACACACCTGTAGTCCCAGCTACTCAGGAGGATGAGGCAGGAGAATCGCTTGTAGCTGGGAGGCAGAGGTTGCAGTGAGCCAAGATTGTGCCACTGCACTCCAGTCTGGGCGACAGAGTGAGACACTGTCTCAAAAAAAAAAAAATGTCTTGCTTCAAAAGAGAGACTAAAATACAGTTAAGTAATAGTATCAATAGCAATAACAAATACATGCATGTACACAAGCACATGAAAAGCAGGAAATCAGATCACAAGATCTAGTACAGAAATAACAACCATATAAGTAAAAAGGTAAATTTCTAAAAGAATAAGGTAAGACTTTCAGACTGTTAAGACACCAAATTGATGTATTACAGTTTCAAGAATTATCTCACAATAAAAACAATATGTAAAGCTTAAAAATAAAAGATGAGCAAGGCTATATGAGACAATTATGAACATAGAAGGAACTAGAATGTTAGTAATATTGGACAAAGTAAAATTCAACAAAACAAAACACTCATAAAGGTAGTAAAATTGATAATTTTATTTTTCAGAAGCACAGACCAGAAGGCTTGGAATCAAAATACATAAAGTAAAAAAAATTACAAATATGAATAGAAATGGATAGAAATCATCATGGTAGGAAAATTCAGTATTAGCAATTTCAAGTAGGCCGGGTGTGGTGGCTCACATCTGTAATCCCAGCATTTTGGGAGGCCTAGGTGGGTGGATCACCTGAGGTCAGGAGCTCAGGACCAGCCTGGCCAACATGGTGAAACCCCATCTCTACTAAAAATACAAAAAATAGCCAGGTGTGGTGGCACATGCCTGTAATCCCAGTAATCCAGAGGCTAAGACAGGAGACTCACTTGAACCCGGGAAGTGGAGGTTGCAGTGAGCCGAGATCAAGCCGCTGCACTCCAGCCTGGGTGACAGAGTAGAATTCTGTCTCAAAAAAAAAAAGAAAAAAGACCTTAGAAGATTTGAATAACATAATAAAGATTATTTATTTAAATGGTAGTTTCATATGCTACATATGATTTTAAATGATACTTTCATAAGTATCATACAAATTTGTATGTATTTGTATTTTTGTTGTTGCTGTTGGTTTTTTTTGTTTTTGGTTTTTTTTTTTTTTTTTGAGATGGAGTATTGCTCTGTCACCAGGCTGGAGTGCAGTGGCGTGATCTTGGCTCGCTGCAACCTCTGCCTCCTGGATTCAAGTGATTCTCTTGCCTCAGCCTCTCAAGTACCTGGGATTACATGTGCGTGCCACTACACCTGGCTAATTTTTTCATATTTTTAGTAGACATAAGGTTTTGCCATGTTGGCCAGGCTAGTCTTGAACTCCTGATCTCAAGTGATTCACCCACCTCAGCCTCCCAAACTGCTGGGATTGCAGGCATGAGCTATTGCTTCCGGCCAGTATCATGCAAATATTTTTTATTGTTTTTATGTCAGGTTACAAAGAGGTTCAATATATTTTACAAAGCAGACACAATACAGGGTATGTTCTTTTACCTCAGCATAAAAAAAATCTCTAAAAATTAGTAACATGTTTAAACAAACAAACAAAAACAATATACTTGGAAATATAAACATGCTTGCCTAAAAAGTTAGGGTCTTCTTTGGATAAGGAAAAAAAAATACAAACTAAATAACAAAAATGAGAATTCCATATAATGTTGTCAGAACAGCATTCTGAGTTAATTTTTGACTTGACACGATTTCATAATTTAAAAACAGAGGGAGAAAAATAAAGAGAAAGACCTATGCCAAGGTCCCCAGAAGAGAGGAGAAAAAAGAATAATAAACAAACATAGCTAGGTTCTGTGTGAAATGTGATAAAACATGTATAACATAAAATCTGCCATTTTAACCATTTTAAAGGATACAGTTCAGTGGCATTAATTCCATTCACAATGTCATGCAACCATCACCATTTCTAAAAGTTTTCATCCCCCTCAAACAGAGTTCTTACCCACTGAGCAATAAATCCCCATTCTCACCTCCTATCCACTCACAAATCTTCATTTACTCACTGTCTCTATCAATTTGCCTATTCTAAATGTTTCACATAAGTGGAATCCATACAATATTCTGTGTGTGTATCTGGCTTATTGCACTTAGCATAATATTTCCAAGCTTCATCCACATTGTAGCATGTATCAGAACTTCATTCTTTTTAAAGGGTGAAGTGTTTCATTGTGTGTATATATAATAGCACATTTTGTTTATCTATTCACCTGTTAATGTACACTTGGGTTATTTTGACTTTCTGGCTGTTATGAATTTTGCTGCTATTAACTTTCATGTATAAGCATGTGTTTGAATATGTGTTTCCAGTTCTTTTGGGCATATACCTAGGAGTGCAACTTCTGGGTCATAGAGTAATTCTATGGTTAACATTTTCAGAAATTGCCCAATTATTTTCTATAATGGCTGCAGCATTTTACAGTCCTACCAGCAATGTACAAAAGTTCTAATTTCTCTATGTCCTTTCTAATACTTGTTATTTTATGAACAAGTTCTTTATATATTCTACATGTTAAACCCTTCTCAGATACATGATTTAAAAGTATTTTCTCACATTCTGTGGTTTGTATTTTTACTCTCTTGATAGTGTCCTTTTTACTTTTTTCTCCAATTATGAAATAAATGCATGCTCAATTAGAAAATTTGGGAAGTATCAAAAATTTGCAAAAAATATGAAGAATCAGATAAAGCACCCACAATTCCAACTGAAATTTAACTACATCCTATATTTTGTCATAATTTGTTTTCCATCACTTTTTATATTTACATTTATTTTGTATATTTAAATAAATCTGTATAACAGTATAGTTTTGTATCCTACTTTTTTTTTAGACAGTCTTGCTCTGTCGCCAGGCTGGAATGCAGTGGCGTGATCTCGGCTCACTGCAACCTCTGCCTCCTGGGTTCAAGCGGTTCCCCTACCTCAGCCTCCCGAGTAGCTGGGACTACAGGCACATGACACCATGCCCTGCTAATTTTTTGTATTTTAGTAGAGACAGTGTTTCACCATGTTGGTCAGGATGGTCCCAGTCTTCTGACCTTGTGATCCTCCAGCCTTTGCCTCCTAAAGTGCTGGGATTACAGGTGTGAGCCACCACGCCTGGCCTGTATCCTAATTTTTATGTTTTTTTAATTAACATTGTAACCATTTTACTATGTTACTAAAAACTAAAAATTTTTTATAGTTGTATCAGATTTTACTGTATGGATATACTGTAATTTATTTAGCCATTCTCTAATGTTGTATAAACAATTTATAATATTTTCCTATTAAAAAACAACTGAAATTAACATCTTATGGTCTGGATTTCCCATATAAAAGAATTAGAAGCAGCATTCCTAGCTTAAAGGACTTGCAGCAATCCCTTGGCTAAAGCACAGTCGTCTGCGGAAATGCAAACATCCCTGGGAACATATCATGTCTTAGCCATCTTAACAGCCATCTTAACGTTCAGTAGATACGACTACCTTCAGATACACCATTTTAATGTAATTTTGGTTCAGATAACAAGATATGATGCTATAAAGGACTGAAAGCTAGAGACTCAGGGTCTGTTTATTAAAAATAAAGGTGGGGGAGGGAAGATGAGAAAACAGAGAGAAGTTTGACATGAAGAATAGTCCTGGCAGCCGGGCATGGTGGCTCATACCTGTAATCCAGCACTTTGGGGGCCCGAGGCAGACGGATCACAAGGTCAGGAGATAGAGACCAGCCTAGCCAACATAGTGAAACCCCATCTTTACTAAAAATACAAAAATTAGCTGGGCGTGGTGGCACGTGCCTGTAATCCCGGCTACTCGGGAGACTGAAGCAGGAGAATCGCTTGAACCAGGGAGTCGGAGGTTGCAGTGAGCCAAAATCGTGCCACTGCACTCCAGCCTGGTGACAGAGCAAGACTCTGTCTCAAAAAAGAAAAGAAAATAGTCCTGGGTAAAGCAAGGGAACAAACACATGGGCATTGAGCACATGGGGAAGAAAAGGAAATAGGAATGTGTGGAAACGTAACAAACATACACTTGACAGTTCAAGCATTTTGTCTATGTCTCCTCCCTGGTTTCACTCTGTAGCTACTTATTACTGGCTGGGCGCAGTTGGCGCGGTGGCTCACGCCTGTAATTCTAGCACTTTGGGAAGCCAAGACAGGTGGATCACCTGAGGTCAGGAGTTTAAGACCTCCCTGGGCAGTATGGTAAAACCCTGTCTCTACTATAAACACAAAAATTAGCCAGGCACAGTGGTAGGCGCCTGTAGTCCCAGCTCCTTGGGAAGCTGAGGCAAGAGAATTGCTTGAACCTGGGAGGTGGAGGCTGCAGTGAGCCAAGATGGCACACCTGCACTCTAGCCTGAGCAACAGAGTGAGACTCTTTCTCAAAAAATAAATAAAATAAAATAAAATAAAGTTATAAAAAATACTTATTGCTAACTGTGCAGATTCTTTGGCCAGGTAGGTGAGGTAGCTTGACCAGTGATGTGAGCTTTAGGGGGCCCTAGTGAATGTGAATGTGAATTACTGAATGTTGTCTAAAACTTTAGTGACAGTCTTCCCACCCAGCTTGATAGTTACCATCAACATGTAAATAAAATGCTAAGAACTTCATAATTAAATTTTTGGCTACTTACACCATTCGAAAGGGACTTGCAGTCTGGAGTTAAGAACAGAAAATTCTCTTTGGAACAATTCGTTTGCACAATCGAGTAGGTAATTAGAAAGTTCCATCCAGACACCACCTGAAACCATTTCAGATTGAATATTTAAATGGTAGTTTAAATATTATTCACTGTGGGATATGAATGTTATAAGGAGTTTAGAACACTGTGTGGCAATGTAACAAGTTTCCAAGAAATATGAATTATTATCACTAGGCAAAAAATGCTGAATAAATATTTAGCACCTTAAGACTCTCATATCTCTCTCTCTCTCTCTCACACACACACACACACTCTACACACACACACACACCCTGCTAGCCATCTGAAAATGACAAGCAAGATATATTTTTAAATTCTTTAGCCAGTTTGGAACATGGATTTCCTTAAGTAAATCCTAACAATATTTCCTCTGCCAGGCTGCAGAGAGAAATGTTTCCTGAATTTCATAAAATAATAATGCCCTTCTAGATGGATAAAGAAGACTTTGGAGGGGAGTGGTCTTTACTGGTGGGTCCTCAGGCTCCAGGTTACCAAGTAGTAAGATTCTCCTACTTTATTCTGGGCCGGTCCCACCCCGATATCTCTATATGGACATAATTGAGTAAAGCACACTTGCATGAAAGCAAGTTGTAAGGTTTATTAAATGCAGAGAATGTTACTGACCAAAGGGAATCACTCATAAAGAGGCTGAAATATGAGGGACCCAGTCAACTATTAGAAAAGTCTGGCTGGGCCAGGTGCAGTGGCTCAATGCCTGTAATCTCAGCACTTTGGAAGGCTGAGATGGGCAGATCACCTGAGGTCGGGAGTTCAAGACAAGCCTGGCCAACATGGGGAAACTTTGTCTCTACTAAAAACACAAAAATTATCCTGGTGTGGTGGCAAGTGCCTGTAATCCCAGCTACTCGGGAGGCTGAGGCAGGAGAATTGCTTAAACTCAGAAGGTGGAGTTTGCAGTGAGCTGAGATTATGCCACTGCCCTCCAGCCTGGGCACCAGAACAAGACTCCGTCTCAAAAAAGAAAGAAAGAAGATTACAGCCGAGTGCAGTGGCTCACACCTGTAATCTTGGCACTTTGGGAGACCAAGAAGGGTGGATCACTTGAGGTTGGGGGTTCGAGACCAGCCTGGCCAACATGGTGAAACCTCGTCTATACTAAAAATACAAAAATTAGCCAGACGTGGTGATGTGCACCTGTAATCCCAACTACTTGGGAGGCTGAGGCAGAAGAATCACTTAAACCCGGGAGGCAAAAATTGCAGTGAGCCAAGATCATGCCACTGCACTCCAGCCTAGGCAACAGAGCGAGACT